TAGAATGCTCAATAGAAAAATGGATAATGACACCGGCACTTCAAAAAAAAGATATCCAAATAACCATAAACATTAGAAAAAACTGTCATGTAAATCATAAAAGTTACATCACTATATATTACAAGTTAACTTCACTATGATATTGTAATGCACACCTACCAAAATGGCTTAAATTAGCAATACTCATAATTCCAGATGTTGATATTTACCTACTCAGGGTTGTGGTCATTTTGTGGTATTTCATCTGTTGTGTACGTTTGATCTGAGCCATTTTCTGTCATATATATGTAATTTTTAAAAATCTTCTGGGAGAAGTCCTTACACTAATAAAATGACCAGCTGAGGTCTATAATTATAAATGTGTTCTCAACAAAATGAAGAAAAGCAAAAGGAACATGTCCTGCACTGTTTCTTCATAAGTGCCATGGTCACTGCTAATATTTGGACTTTTTTTTTAATAATTGGAAAATTTAAAGCCTGATCCAAAATTAAGATTCTTACACATGCTTTTAGGAAACAAGGCTCACATCCTAAAATGGCTTGACAGTGTGTCAGTAGAATTTAGGGCTATTTTGACTGCTTTTGCTGTGTAACCAGGGAGAAGCCTGGCAGGCGTGCTCCGACTCCAACAGACTGCTTATTGAGACCCGGGAGTGTGCGGCTTGCCTTAGGTCCCCAATTTCCACAATATGCATGCAGAGTTGCCTGGATGGCAATTGGCTGTCGGGTTGCTCGGCCTGATTTTTGAGCGGCTGATTAGAACAGGCTGAGATTGAGAATTTTCCTGGGAGTGTAGGGCTGCGAGCTGTGTACCTGTGTGATTCGGCCGGGGCGTTCCAGGCGAGTTTGTGTGGGCTGGTTGCCCATGCAGGAGTGCATGCTGCTCTGACCTGGTGGAGGCCACTGACCACACCCTGTGGTGCCTTGGAGGCCTGCCCCACCCACCTATAACTGTGTTGCCAGGGACACCCTGAGCCCCTGATCCTTGTCACCTACCTCTGCAGGCCACAGAGGTTTTTTTGCAGCAGCAGACAGCCCGCAACAACCTGTGAGGATTTTTGGTGGTGAGCATGGTTCCAGAGCACACAGCAACTAATCGTGGGACACTTACTTCAAGTCTAGAGGGAGGTCAGCGCATGACACACTGAGCCCTTCCCCCCAACAGCTGGTGCTGAGCTGCCCAGAGTCTCTCTATTGCTGAGCAAGTGGTCTGCAGATTAAAGCAAGTGAAGAGCCCCTTCCCCCCCCCTTTTTTTTTCTTTTTCCTTTTTTCCCCTTCTTTTTCTCTTCTTTCTTTCTTTTTTTTTTCTTTCTAGGTGATCTAATACATTGAAGCAATCAGAGTGACAGCCAGAATAAAGAAACAAAGAAACATGTCGCAAGGAAAAGATCAGAAGAAACCTCAAAAAAAGGAACTAAATGAAACAGAGGTATCCAACCTTTCAGAGACAGAGTTTAGAACACTGATGATAAGAATGTTTCAGGAACTTAAGGAGGACATAAAGAAGGATAGAGAAATCATAAAAAACAACCAGTTAGAACTAA